TATAGGCATCTTCATCATTTTTTTGAAGTAATCAAATATCTGATGTCACTTCTGTCAGTTCAATTATGTGATTTGATTTTGAAAAATTGCGAATTCAGTAGTTGTTTAGTAATATACGAAACCGCGAAGTCGAATGGAAGATAAAAGGACTTGCAGTTCTTTCTCGGAGACGGTATAATTGACTCATTTTTCGGAACTATAGCACAACAAAAGCCATTAACAGAGTATATATATGTGATATATATCCGGGAAAAAAGTACTCACTTTTTTCCCACGGGAAAAAAGTAATTTATGAAAAGTGACATTTTATAACCTGCCAACAGAGATGAAATGCCAAACTTTTTTCCCGTCACAGAAAAAAATTATTTGACGCCCGACAACTATATTTCTTAACAGCCGTAGCGTGGCAACATACCCACAGAAATACATTAACACCAATAAACCATGACTATAACACACGACATAAAAATACTTCATCAGCTATACCAAGACCTGAAAAAAACACCCTGCAAAGAAGTTATACCTACTTAGGGCCGAAACTATACAGCTTAATTCCTCAAGAATTTAAGCAATTCAATTCCAGTCAATTATTCAAATCGAAAATGAAACAATGGATTAGCCAACATCCACGACTCTTCATCCATCATCATATAGATTTAAAAAATTCATACCATAATTTACAATGTTGAAAATAATATATAAAAACTAAAAATCATCTCAGAAGATTTTTTACTTGTATTTGCATATATATATTGTAGAAGTAGTATAGTGATAGTATTTCCAGGTCATATCATATGTCAAGAGTCATGGTATAAGTAGACATATTTCACTACCCACAAGGTTTGCCTTTTGGTGATTTGTCTACTATGACCAATTCTCTGAATATGATATAAGAAATACTATTTCCGTAAATTATTCCATATACTTTCACCCTCATCATTTTAATTTCATCATCATTACCATTAATCTGTAATATGTCATAATGTAAATTAGTTTAGATCTTATTATAATTATTATTCAATATCACTCCCACTACCAAGGTTGTCCTTGTTGGGATGTATGTCTTTATTTACCAATTTTCTCTTATTTTGCTTGTACTGATGTACTTATAGGTAAATAAAATTATTATTATTATTATTATTATTATATTATTATTCAACCTCTGTATAGTATAACCTGAGTTCCTGACCATATACTAAACAGAATTCCATTTAGAAAACAGAAGTCCACGATGTGCATGCCAATTTGAATGTTTATCTACATGCAAGACCAAGAATTCAACAAGTTTATCGGTACTTGATAATGTATCATTTATATTCACTTGTGAAGAATCAATTTTATTTTAATAGTTATGAAATTGAATAATTTTCATTTTCTGTGCATTCAAAAATAGGTCGTGATCACTGAAAAAATCAGAGGCATTAGCTGAAGTAACTTCGCATTCATTTTCAAGAGATTCAGTGTTCTTTGCCGAAATAAGTAAGGATATATCATCCGCATACGCGGTAAGTTTGGAATTCATTATTTCATATTCAAGATTATTGATGCAAAACAAAAATAATATAGGCCCTAATACGGAGCCCTGAGGCACCCCTAACCGGACCTGCCCTATTTCAGAGGAAAATGTTGAAGTATGTTCATTAACTTCAAATTTGAGAGAAACACACTGTCTACGATTATTGAGGAAGGAAGAAACCCAGTTATTCGAGATTCCTCTCACACAATACAGTTCTGAGTTATTGTGATCCGCTTCACCCGGCAAATGTCTGAAAAATCACTTCAAACATGTCAATGGGTGGAGAGGATTAAGGAAATACATTTAAAATTATAAATTTATTACTAACAAAAAAAAACGAACAGAAAGTTCATTAAAATAGCTATCAACATCTCGAGGTGGTGAACGGGACTGCGAACTATTACTTATATACTCAGCGGACCCGTCTTGACAGCTTTCACAACCTTCGTCAAATATAGGCGATTCAAAATAAGCGATACGCTCTCTTGCGGATATTCAAGTAACTAATGGAAAGTACATTGAATGCTTGTTCACATTCAAGTTTCCATGCATTTTATCCATTGTGATATTTTTTGAGTTTGAATTCTTCAGTAGAGTATCTTGAATCATTATTGCTTCGTGTCTCATGTTATTCATGAAATTTTCATCACTGGATTTCACAGAAAATGATAATTTCAATCAGTGTATAATTGAAAGATTTTCTCTCAATTTTGAGATTGAATTCAGTTGCATTTTATTCCCAAAAGTGAAAAATTACAGTGACAATTTGATTTATGTATGAAAAATCCCACAAGCCGCGTGATTTTGTCATTATGACAGCGAAAGAAGTTTGCCCCAACTTTTCCAGCGACAATAACGGAACCTAACTTTTGTAAGCATGACAACCAGCCCTAAACAAATAATGTTTGATGAATTGAATTGTCTTACCGAATTACACTCTAGCTGTTTTTGTTAGTCGAAGAAAACTTGCCATTTATAATTCGAATTTTGTTGCCATTAGGTAATTAAACTCAATTCAATTCGTCAAATTGCCCGGCAACAAAATTCTTATTGATACATGTCAAGTTAACTTCAACAGAAAAAGGCTCTCGTATAAGTGATCTCCACTCGGAAACAAAGCACATATTTGTTGAATTTTTTCTACTAGGTATATCAATTATTTGCAGATAGGGGAGTCATTAATCTATGGCAGATACATCCAATTTACTTTATCACTTTAATGAACAAATATCTGCTGATAAGCTTCCTCGAATCACAATAGTACACAAACAAACAGTTGTTTTTGCTTAAATCACTATAAGAAAATCGAAATAATACACACAAGCAAATGAACCATTTCAAAACAATGTACTTTCATATAGTTCCCTGGCTCAAACGATTGACAACGGACTTGTTGATGTTTGTGACACGTTTTTTCGTTTGTATGTATTCTATTGATGAATCCCCAGGTATAATTTATCAAACTTTCAAATACAGACCTATATACTTCTAAATACAAATTCTTTTTTTTTTTATTCACCCGTACTGTAAACAAACTTGTTGACTGGGTTATATCAATAAGCTATTTGTCAGTAATGATGATACTTTCTGAGTTTGATCAATGATCACAAGTTGTTTACAGAAACCTGCATGCTCACATGAAACTATACTACGATCATCTTTATTATCGCAGCACTATTTGAGTTTTCAGTTCTTACTCAAATTCGAATGACATCGATGGATCGAGAATTCTTTATGCATCCTGCTTCCATTATTGGTGTACTTTCTTGGAATTTTTAAATTTTGATATGAGAAATTGGTGATAACTTGACAGAAAACTGGAATTCAAAAAATGTTGTATTCCCAAGAATTGATTTCTTCCAGAACATAACAAAAATTCCAACAAATACCGCCTCTCCCTGTCCTCCCTAGGTACGCGAACATTATTGAAATATCATTTCGTGCTCTCCAAGAGATAAAAAAGAATAACATGTTCAGAATTGAAGGTCACAAGTTTTTCGAGAATGTGGTCGATACAGGCGATTTCTCAAATTTTTTGCAATGAACAGACAATATTATACCCTAATATTGATCAAGGTTTCCTCCGTCATTGTAATTTTTTTTGTATTGTCAAATGATGACCATGAGGAGGTTAGGTGTAAGAGAAGCCTTGGGCTGAATCACGCCTCCTTCTGGTCTGATAAGACGATACCATTTTTTGCCCGTGTGCCCTGAGTAAAATTTTTGTATATCGCTACTTCGAAGTTGGGAACCAACTCCTCAGAAGTCGAAACTTGTGCGGGGTTAGGAAGAGCGGGACCTACAGCTTATAGTGGAATCCGAACCACTTCTAGGGCATCGAGGTGCTGCCAGGATTACAACCATGAATCACACATTTTAAAGAAAAATGCTCAGCCGATAGCCGGATTCGAACCGACAGTACCTCCGCATCGTGAACGGCTATCTAGCGAATTTCAGCGCATAGACAAACTCGGCCACGGCGTAATGATCCAAGTATGACGGCCTTCTGCATTCCACCAGCCAGGATGTATGCCTTATTGCTGCACGCTGGGATTTTCTGGATTTCGGAGAGCAGCGTATTTCGTGTGCCTCCTAGGGAGCCGATTATCAGGATGACCAATTCCACAGAATGGTCTGGATATAGCCTGCAGAGTTAGAAGAGAAGATCTCGATATTTAGTCCGTTTCTCCTCCTCCTTCAGAACGATGTTCGGTTCGGCTGGCGCCGAAAACTAGATCACGAACATCGCTTTGGTTTGATTGTCGAGGAGGACTACATTAGGCTTCTTAGCTTGTATTTGCCCAAGGGTGGGGAAAGAGAAGTTCCTATAAATCGGCACCTCTCATTCTCCACAACGGACTCAATATCCCCCGGAGCATAGGGCATCACTGGGGTCTCGTCTATTCCGTACGAGTGCCTCAAATGGTAGTAGAGCACTCGCAATGCCGCATCGTGTCTATGGATACAGGCCGAGACTGCATACACCATGCAAGAAGACAGCAGGTTCATAATTGTCTCGGGCGCCCTGCAGCAGGCCATGCAATTTGTGTCAGGGACCTCCATACCCATGACACGGCTACGGTAGACGAGAGTGTTAAGAACCCAATCCTTGCATGCCATGATGAACCCCTCTGTTTCCGATTCAAGCCCGCCTGACTTTAGAAAAGCAAAAGTCACTACTTTGGATGAGCCCCGGTCTTCAATGGTCTTGAAGTAGACTGAATGCATGAGCTTATCCATGTAAACCTGCAGGAGCTTTCTTACTCCTGCAGCGTTGATGCGGGCCTTTCTCCGACTGGACTCTAGCTCAGTAACTGAGTCCTGAGCCTCGCGCTCGGAGTCGTAAATCAGAAAAAATCACTTTCGACTGTGAGTCGCAATGCCGCATTATGTCTATGGATATAGACCGAAGCTGCATACCTCGTGCAAGATCACTATATTGATGAAGACATGTCCTGTATAAGCATTATAAGGTCCGATATACCTTATAGTTCGGGTTCAGCCCGCCAGCGGCGTTGGTGACGATCAACAGCTCGATCCCCAACAGTTTCATCACTCGCACGGGCATAGCGCACTTTTCCAAAGGGTAGCCCTCGTAGTAGTGGAACCGGCCCTTCATGCAGACCAAGGGCACGGTCGCGATGTAGCCGAACACCAGGCAGCCGCTGTGGCCCTTCACGGTGGATTGCGGGAAATTGGGGATTTGCGGGTACGGGACTTCTATTTTCTGCTGGATCGAGTCTGCGAAGTATTACTCAATAAATAATAATGAAAATAATGTTTTTTCACCACTAGCTATAAAACATACCATTAATTACTACTTTTCGAGGTATAAAGTGTGTTTTTACTACCAAGGTAGTTTTCGTAATTTTATGAACCACTAGTCAACCTCTGTTGTAAATAACCCGAATGTACTAGTCTAAGAGCCAGCGCCAAAAAGATTCTCTGAATTTACCAAGCCTAGTTTTTTCACAGTTCATTTCAATGGTTTTGTACACAAACATACTGCGGTCAGTCAAGCGAAACTGAGAACAGGTGTTCCTGGTATACTATCGAAGTTGTCGTTCCCACCGAGGTAATACAATGAATTTATTGAGGCTGAAAATCATTATACACATTGTATATTGCATATGAATTGAAGTTATGAAAGTCAGTCAGCTGACTGTGGGGACGGGAGCTGGTCGACCCCAATGTACGCAAAAAATAAATGAATTGCAATTCATTTACTACACTTCAAAATTCTTGTGGGGATATTTGTTGTTATATCAATCATGAAAAAAATGGTCAGTCATCGATTCTGCGGGACAACGCCCGTCAGTCAGCAAAAAAAGAAATACAAATTTCGCACGAGCGTTCGCCGTTGCAGGCGGCGGCTCGCTCTTCTCCTCATGATTATTCAACTGAATCGATTGATAAGGCCATTTATTGATTATAATTCGATAGATGATATTGAACATTCAGTATAGTATACAGTGTGTCTCACTTTTATTTATTTATTTATTTATTTATTTATTGAACAAATAACTTCCAGACAGAATAGGCTCTGGTATAAGGAAGTACATAATTATATACCTATAGGTATTCATTCAAAATATATCAACAACTGTAAATTGGCAAACAAAGAATAATATTTGTAAAAAAAATGGCATGATTAATTTTATCAAGTCCGCTGAGAAATAATCAGTTTTTTTACTTCATTTTTGAATATACCTATATTTCTGCAATTTTTCATATTATCAGGTAGTTTATTGAATTCAGTTAAGGCTGAATGAGTGAATCTTCTTTGTCCGATTAGGGAGCTAGCGGCGTCAAGATGGAACAAGTTATATTGTCTAGTTTCATGATTATGAATTTCAGAATTCCGTATCAAAATGATATTCGACATCAATTTTTTATTTATGATATCATATGATATTTTGAGAGTTTCAATTCTATATATTTCATCTAAAGAATACGTATTTGTTATTTCATACAATTGATTGGTTGGTGTATCAAATGGGAAACACCCCACTATTTTCCGTATATTTTTACGTAGAGCCATACAAATTTCAGGAACAATATCTGACAATGAACTCACTGCACGAAAGGGGTCATCCTACGTGATATAAACTGCACGTCAGCAACGATGGAACTACTCATGTTGCTGGAAAATTATATTAGGGGGCAAAATTGACCTAATTCCGAATTCGTGTTCAGCATCCCCAAATTTTTATATAAAAAAATCAGCCCTGAAAAATTTCAATTTGTCTCTGCTGGCGTGCTGTGAATATCACGTAGGATGACCCCTTTCGTGCAGCGAGTTCATTTTCAGATATTGTTCCTGAAATTTTTATGGTTCTACGTCAAAATATACGGAAAATAGTGGGGTATTTCCATGAGAGGTGAGACACACTGTATAATATATTGAATGTTCAATATTATCTATAGAATTATAATCAATAAATGGCCTAATCAATCGATTTCGTTGAATAATCATGAGGAAAAGAGCGAGCCGCCGCCTGCAACGGCGATAGCGCCTGCGAAATTTGTATTTCTTTTTTTGCTGACTGACGGGCGTTGTCCCGCAGAATCGATGACTGACCATTTTTTTCATGATTGATATAACAACAAATATCCTCACAAAAATTTTGAAGTGTAGTAAATGAATTGCAATTCATTTATTTTTTGCATACATTGGGGCTGACTGACCAGCTCCCGTCCCCACAGTCAGCTGACTGACTTCCATAACTTTCATTCATATGCAATATGCAATATGCAATGTGTATAATGTTTTAAGCCTAAGTAAATTAATTGCATTACCTCGGTAGGAACGACAACTTCGATAGTATACCAGGGACACCTGTTCTCAGTTTCGCTTGACTGACCGCAGTATGTTTGTGTACAAAACCACTGTAATAAACTGTGAAAAAACTAGGCTCAGTAAATTCAGAGAATCTTTGTGGCTCTGGCTCTCCGTGTATACTGTCCTCATCAGATTATATCCCTCGGCTGAAGCTTCGGGATATAATCTTGGTCCCTGGGTAATAATGATATTCTTTACTACCTTGGTGTATAAATAACTATTTTCCACCACAAGCTATGAAACCAGCCATTATTTCGAGGCGTAAAGTGTGTTTTCACTACCAAGGTAGCTTTCGTCATTTTGTTAACCACTAGTCAATAGCCAACTCTGTTATAATTAACCAGAAATCACTTTTCTGATGCGAGATTCGTAATAATAGTACTCGAATATAGTATTTTTTTTGATAAGAATTGGAAATGGGTGCTTCCATATAGTGACAATATGTTCATATTTACGTTCACAGGACCAAAATGTATTGCTAGTGGTGTAAAACAATTGAAACACACCTTGGTAGTAAAGAATATTATAACATCCTTTACTACCTTGGTGTATAGATAACTATTATTCACCAAGAAAAATAGATCAACAACAATAAAAAAGGCAGGTACATTGATCAGCAGATATTACAATGAAGTGATCAATCACTGAAAATTGAAGTGACTAGGAAATAATGAAGTTGGAAAAAGAGGATGTGAAGAACCTGAATAAAATTAATAAATATTGAAACGACTTCGACAAATGAGAAGAAATAAGAAGAATCAAGCAATGAATTGAGTAACCACTTGGGATATTTTTGGGCAATATATTATAAGTGAGATAATGTACCTGCAAGAGATCCTAGACCCGATCCACAGATGATTCCAATCTGAGGAGTGAAAGAAATGAGACTTTTGAGGTACTCGGCAGTTTGCGTCAATTTTTCATATGAATATTCATTGTTGGTTTCCAAGCTGGTTGGTTTAGGGCAGTTGAGGCCTGTGCAGGGCATGATGGATGGATTGAGATGAGTTGAGCACTTGAAATTTTGACACTAGACTTGATTTGTCAATGTGTCATTCTGACGATGAATGTTCTGTTGCTGGGTACACACATTTCAATCAAACTAACAATCAGGAGTTGACAATTATCAATCAACAATATGTAATGCCCCCAACTTTCTTCGTTAGTTGGCCTACTACAGGGGGTCGTTACAAAGTAATTTTTCCTTGATCAATGGGTTCGTTGATTATTGAGGCAGGAGGCAGACTGAGAGTGTAGACAATAAGACAACATATAGATAGTTACTGAGACATATATTCGGCAGAATGGTCAGGCAGAGGTTACAGCGTTGATTGATATATTACGCTTACGCTGGGAAGATGCCCAACCTTATGGGGCAAAACGAGGTCCAAAAAAATCTCACAACTAGATGGCGTACCATAGTTCGAAATCTCACATAGTGGCGGCGATAGTGTCGAACGATATCGGAGCAATACTTCGTAATTTGACGGGCAGGTGCGCCACTTACGAAGAGAATCTATTGGAATGCAGATGGCGTGCGACTTGGAACAATTAAACAATCCATAATCCGGAACGCTTGTATCGAATCCATGATCAATCAGTACGATTCTAACTAATATGGCGGTAAATTCGAATTTGTTAGTAATAGTTGTACTGGATGTGCTTCTAACGAGCGCATCACGGACGTGAGATCATGAAAAAAGTTTATAGAAATCGAATTGGAGTGAATCACAAAATGTAATGTCTCAACAATAAATGCTTCCATTTTTGGCGATTGTGGAATAAACTGGTCAGCGGATATCAATATATAAGCTGCTCATAAATTTGATTGAAATTCACGAACCCGGACCAGTGTTGTCACCTTAGTGTATTTTACCCTAGAACTGAATCTACATGGGTCTGTTTGAGTGGAATTTCATATTTCATTATGTCGAATTACTAAATCAAACGATAATTCACTGTCGCAAATCATTTTCTTGTCAGAGCTATGTACAATTTTTGAGATTCTTATTATTGAAATTACTGATATTTATCACATGAAAAACGCGGAACTTGCGTGACAATTCTTTACCGCTATCAATCCAAAGTATTTTATACTGATATATAATATGGAATATGGAATAAATACAACTTTGTTAGGATTCATTAGAAATTTTCCAAAGGTACACCCTGTATTTTCATTCATAAATTCATTCCGACATCTTTGGCGTTTTTATCGCTGAAGAAAAAATCGAAATCGGTTGCGGCGTTGTCAAGTTATGAATAATTTCCTTATTTTTACTACTATTCCGGGGTAATTTGTACGTCATAATTCTTTCATTTATTTGTGTTGTGGAAATATTGCGTTGCTACGGTATAATCATATTCCTCCATTGACCAATCATATATTTTTTACAATAGGAACATTAATAGGCTCTCCAAGTTTGAATTCAAAACAGAGTGGGTTTCGACTAGTTGATTCAAAATGCTACTTTCACAGATTTTTTGCAGACTATGAATTCATTTTTTGAAATACACTTCTATTATTTGTGTAATGACGTGTCAAACATCGCCAAAATCAAATATATCTCGAATTACTTACCTATGGGAATAATTTAAAACATTTTTGCGCCACCAAAGATGATGGGCCCAGATATTCAATTTATAATCCATGTGTTTGTGAGAATTTCAGGTATTTTTCAATTTTTCAGTGTATAATTGTGCTCCAGTGGGTTTTTTGGAAAAATTGACGATAAATTATGGGTTGAAGCTCCGAACTCAAGAATGTAATTAACATAGAAACTCTTTGAATTAGGTTCAACTGTTTGAGCAAGCCTTCAGACCACTATTCTGAAGGCCTTCAGACCACTATTTCAGGGGCAGACGTTGCTCTTGACATGTTCGTTTGTTTCACATAGGTACATATATGGTTTTAATCATAAGTAACAAGATTACGGAATATTCAAAATTTGGACAATGCACATATCGCAAAAATACCTGAATGATCTATGTAGAACCTCGAATGTCATGTGACAAGCAATATTTCCACACTCAAATCATATAAAGGAACCATGCCTTATAAGTAGCCCTGAGATAGTGATAAACATAAGGAAATTACTCATAACTTGAAAACGCCGTAACCGATTTTGATTTTTTTTCCATCGATGTCGAAATAATTCTGTGATGAGAAATACAAGGTGTTCTTTTTGAAATATTCTAATGAACGTCGTCTGAATCTTACAATATTCAAAATGTGAATTTTAGCACCCTGTAAAGGATCATCTCGCAAGATTACTGGATTGGTGTACGTGAGACTTTGCTACTACTGTATGCCAAAAATATTTTCAAAATTTGGATAAATGAAAATACCATGCCCAATTCAACATGACTCTTCAATAGTGGTAAAAATTGGTTTATCAATTATAACTTCGCAACGCCGCAACCAAATTCAATTTTTTTCACAGCGATGTGAAGGTAATCCTCGACGGAATAAATTCGGAATAAAAAATACTGGGTGTTCCATTTAAAAAAACTCGTCTCCGAGTCGTCCCGCTTCTATAAAACACCCAGTTATGTTGAAAATATTTCTGAAATGAGCAACTTCAGTAACTGAAAAAGTTTTTTCTTCAAAGTTTTTCTCTATAGGTTATGGCTTTCGAGATATCGAAGAATTACGCACTAAATGGACACACTGTATATGGTCCAATAGTTATGACTCACTCTGTATATTATTATGCTTATTATAGAGGATGTATTTTATTTCATTTTTATAGTGAACCATTAACAATCAAAGATTCAAAGATATCTGACTATTTATTTTCTATCTACTGATGAGACTCTAAGAAATTATCACATTCAGATTGATTATATTATCAATATTTTGTAATGTCTTATTAATACAAAACTTTAAAATGGATACAAATTGAGTGAAAAAAATAATCAACGAAAAGGCGTGAGATGTTTTTCCAGATATACAAATTATATTGGTCTAGGGCTAGGGTCTAGGCAAAGTATGACAAGTTATTCACAAGGGAATTTAAAAAAACGCCACGGAGTAGGAACCCAACTGAGTGAGAGATCATAATATGTTCTTCTCTCTTCCGCAAGGAACCGAGGAAAAAATCAATACTGTCCATGGGATTCACCGACCGTAGCAAACATTTTTTTATCGGAACCGGTCGGGCGGGTCGGGTCTCATCGTAGAAGACAAGGATAAACAAAAATTTCTGGAGCGATAGCACGCGGTGGGATGGGATCTGTAATTCTGTACAAAAGTGTAGTAATCTGTACAATTAGTTCAGACATGTTCTGTGTGTCTAGTAGAGTCGCTACCTCACAGTGGCTAAACGATAGGCGAGGGGATGAGCGGGGCATCGACTCGCGAATAACATAGGTTGGGCATCTTCCCAGCGTAAGCGTAATATATCAATCAACGGTTACAGGCAACAAAATCAAAGTTTGCTTACATTTTAGATTGCACATTATTACACTGTTCACTTGTTTTTTCAATTGGCGAGAGATTCACTTCACTTTTACGTCTTTGTCACCAAAGTTGCAGTTTACAATAAATCTACCTGAGTGGTCACTTACACAGGTATTATTAACGAAGTTCACTGGTACTGTTCGAACGTAGCATGTTCGATAGACAGATACAAAGTCGGCTGGATACGGTTTGTATTGAGTCACGTTTAAGACTGAAGTTGAAGTCGAATTTTCCTGCTTTTATACTGAATTTTGGCAATAAATTTCAAGAGAATCAATTAAATATGAGATAAGTTTCATGTTGTGTTTATATTGAGCAAGATTTCTAGTGAATTTTTGAGCAATAAATTACGGATATTAGGATTAATATGCGAAACTAAAAAGATTTTGCTGTAGTTCTGAATTGTTATGATGATAAATAATTTTAAGCTATAACTCATACTTTTAATGTGAACAAAACTGTCATTTACTATAGTTTTCCATTAACCCTTTTTCAAGTAATAATTCAATGTGGTTTATGATTCTCATTAATTTTTCTCGGCTTTAATTTGCACAAGTGAGATGATTTCGATGTAACTCTCCAATGTTATGATAATAATTCACTTCAGGAATATTAACAAAATTGACAATTACATGCTCTTTCCTTTACGTATTTGGGCTGAATAATAATTTATTGATCTTTCAAGCCAATCAGATTAAAGTCACTCCCTCTTTACTGAACTTATAAATTCTCTGCAAATTCTCTTCAACGTCATTTTTGTCTCTCAATTCGGTCCTGTGATATCAACCTGCTTCGTTCTCGAGTGACCAGTGAATTCGTTTTACAAAGGTAACGTACCTACTTATTCTCTACATTTGTTTATGCTAATGATGCTGCACTCAATTCAAAATAAACATTCGTCCGTTCACGTAATAATATTGCCTAGTAGACGGATGATAAAAGTTATTTTTATTTAAGACAATTATTGTTCACTGTACTTAGTTCAAAAGAATTCAGAAATTTACATAATTTTGTCTAAGATATACCCGTTCATTACATTCCATCCACCCCTCGTAGACGAAATTGTATATCCAAATATATCAATTTCGGTTCTAGATAATAATCTCTTTCAAGCGGCATTATTACGTGAACATAACTTATCAACCATAAATTAAGCATCTCTTGAGAGTTCTCGAATGTGTTTACATGATGGTGTTTGACCCAGATAGTGAGGATTATATTGTATAAACAACGATATAGCCAAATGATTTTTTTTTATAGGTAACTACCTGCAGACTCCTACAAAATATATGCATTACACTATAGAATGGAATAATATATATATATATATATAGATTTTTTTTTTATATAAACGAAGTTCATTGTTTCAAAATTGATTCAGTTTCACTTTCCATTCAGCAGTTTAATTGCTTACTCAATGAACAATGCTCTGTAAATCATCATTTGTTTTTTTTTTGTTACTGTATATCTACTTGAATTCTATAAACCCCAAACAATGAGAAAACCAAAACTCCTAGACTTCCATGAATATAAATAATTTCGTTAACTGCGTTACTGTGAGTCTGATCATTATATATTAAAATTATAAAAAGATTAT